GCAGATATATATGTATGCTTTTAAGCAATACTTGAACTAAAAGTTTCTGATTCCATCAAAACCAATCGAATAGTTATAAAAATAGCATGACATGTGTAACTTGATATGCTCTATAAAATGGCTGATGTGAAAATTCCAAATTCGATTGAAAAATTTCATGGTCTGGTTTTCTAGAAACCTCGCTTGGTTTTCCAGGGGATTTTAAAAGATTCCAAAAATCCCGCCATGGCTCATAATAGTACACTTGGTGTACTGCAACCATATCGTAGAGGGGCGAGAAATTTGCTTGATTTTCTGAGACAAAATCTTTCTCCAAAATGACCGGATCGATGATTTGGGCTCTCACGGTATCATCTACTATAAAAGAATGAAAGTATGTCTGGAGCTCGCGGTTATCTGAATTTGTAGTAGACACTATCTAGCAGTTATGATGGAATTCGTAAGTCTAAGTAATGTGTCGTTATGCAGTTGTACGTAGTTTACGTTGACAGTTTCCTTAGATGCCGGAATTTGTGCGTTTTCAGGCTCTTTGTAAAAATTGAATATCTCAGCAGCGCAGCAACTTTAGGATCTGCGCTTTTCGCCAAAATTTATGCAATTGTTTGATCTAACGATCTATGGAAGAAATCTGAGATGGCCGATTGATCTGCATTATACAGTAATAGGTCGCGATTTATCTTTAATCGCTCATAAATAAGTCTATTGAATATTAGTGGCAGAACATTACACTCTAAAAAAATGCGTCCTATTCTAAGATAGACGATTCATCAATCTAATGCAAATCTTTTACGAAAGACAGTCCTGTTACATAGGACTATGACAGTGCCGTCCATCTATATGATATTTATAGATTTGTGTCAGAAAAATCTATAATCGTTTCAAAATATACACCTTCTCCTGTTGTTTGCATACAATTACTAAATATAAGATAAAACTGGTGAATGATTTCCTTGTCTATAATCCCTTAAACTAAGGAAAAAATTCTAATTAGATTCTATATGTACGGACAATTTCAAGAATGCTTTGCATCCACATGCATCTAGCGATATCTGTATGATTCATATAATAAATGAAAGCGAACGATTAAGCTATGTAAAGTCGCTGTTCGATCACGGTAGTAAAAAGAAATCGATCGATGCACTCTCATGAGAAGATCTTGTCATAAGATCTTACAAGAACAAGCTACAAGAAGTGGCAAAGGTTTACTAGTGATGCAAGACGTGGTGATTCATAAATTTTGCTACAATATATATGAAGCTTTCTCACGTCGGTTTTCTACTTCGTCCTTTTTTTGAATGCTGTCTTTGTTATGACTTTCGATTTCATACTTTATTACAGCAGTCTTTTTTACCCTGTCTCGCAGCCATAGCTCGAGCCAGGTTAAGTTTTTAGTATTTCCGACCTTTGAAAAACCGAAATTTTGGAACCCACACTTCTTTATCAATGATTCATCTGATCAATCTGGTTCCTTCACACTTCATGTTCAGTATATTGTGTATATGTGCCCTTTTAGCAGATAAAAATTTAACTGATGTATAGTTGTTGAGATATTTTGGAAACAGTCGCTGTTTTCTTTATTTTTAAAACTTTCTGTCTTATAACTCATACGCGCACAATAGATAATTAAATGAAGGTAGACTGAAAAGTATCAATCGGGACTTTGTATAATTCATAACACAATGAACTACTACACTGCTATGCAGATGTTGTTTTGAGTTTATATTGCGCTAAAGGAATTCCGTATGGAGGGTTAAATATAAAGTAATGTTCCAGTATTATGTAAATAATTTGAAAGACTGATCCATTTCGCTTCTTATCAGTTGCGTTACCTAATTCATTACTTGCTTCAAAGTTTTCTTATTTAATTTATATATTTCTCAAAACTACTATTCTTTATTAAAATCCTACTCACCACTGTTTCATCAATCACTTTTAAACTAAATTAGTACTTGAATTCGCGAGACAGGAATCGATTTACCAAGATCTTGTTATTACAGTGAAAGGTATGAAACTTTAAACTTTATGTAATTATTCGAAATGAGCCGTTGAGATACTAATAATTATCTTGAAAGAACAATGTTCAACATAAAAATTTTAATCAAGAAAATGACTCATTTTATGAACTAAACTGTATTGATTTTGAATATTTTTTAGCACTTTATAATTTTTTGCGAAGTGTCACGTAAAATGAGTAAGGTTAAGTAGTAGCTGTTACTCAAATACCATGCATCTAAGTTGCACACCAACCAAAATTATTTGCATTAGATTTCACTTCGAACTTCAACTCTACATCTATATTCAGGTCACAAGATGAAGGCTAGATCAAAATCTGGCAGGGTCGGTCTGACCTAGATTTAACATAAACAACGCTTTCGAATCACAAAATTCATCTGCAGTGAAGAAAAAACTTCTACAGATATGAAGAAATGTAAAAATGTGTTGATTTTCATTATTTGTTCTGTTGTTTACTTATGAAATGATGCTTATGTCATAAATGCTAAACGTGTCTTTTAGCACGTGTCTTATTACCACGTTGTTTGCTGAAATTTTCTAACTTTGATGAAGCTTGAACAACATAATGACCATAATAAATCATCATATGGTTTTAACTTCCCATTTTTTCAGCGTAATTGCGTTCTCCTTTAAATATTTAATATTAGTCTCGTTCACATATCTATTTTACATCTTTTAGTTAAAGTGTGCATATATACAGGGCTGTCCCGAAGCGATTAGGTTGTAAGAGGTCGACAGTCCGAAATCGTACAGAACGTAAGAAAAACTTTCAGCTCCGCTGGAAAAAAACGAAAACGTTTTAGAATTCGGGGGCGAGGACATTGGAAAGCATTGTTTTTACAAAAGATTTTTTTGTGTAACTTTCGAGTCCCAACTCGACTTTATTAATGATGATAACAGCTAAGTATTTATTTATTTATATAGTAGAAGCAAGACATATACACAATATCATAGATTGAACTAGAAGAATACTTTACATATTTTTTCCGACGACCGACTCATAACTTGGTGGCAAATCACTATCGTCTTTATATATGCTTGTATCTTCAACTGGCGTAGTATATGTAACAGGTAACAAATTCTGTGGTATAAATCCTGTTTGAGATGGTGCCGGTTCTGTTCCAATCGTAACTGGTATCGTGACATCAAAATCTGTAAATATTCCTTCAACTTTAACTTCAAATTTGAGTGCATAACTAATACTGACGTGCGCAGTTAATGTAAAACCACCCGAAAATTGATAAGATGGTGCTAAATATATTGAAGGTATAATGACTGAAAATGTTTCACAAATTCTTTCTTGACGTGTATTTAAAACTTGTGGTAAGGTTGTTCGAAATATATGATGTCCTCGACGATTATATGCAATCTGATGTGTTTCAATTAGAGAAACATTTATATGTTTAATAAGAATATGCTTTGGATTATCAATTTCTAGTGTAGATGTAATAGCTTCATTTGGTACAAAACCAAGTTTATTCAATGTTCCCTTCAACGATATATCTTTTCGATTTTGATTACCGTATATTGTTGACATCAAAATATTTGGTATATGTAGTAGATTTACACGAGGAAAGACGGTTATATAAAATGTTTGACGAGTATTTGGTTTATACCATGGTTTATCGAGAACAACTTGGACGTAATAGCGAACATGTGGATATCTCTCTGGCTGATTGAGCGTGGGTGGTAAATAAGGGGTTAATGGAACAGAAAATGGCCATGAATATTGTCCTTCAGTATAAACGAGTTCAGTTTGTGATTGTTCGGGTAGAGCAAATTGAACTTTTGATTGAAAAAATGGCACATGATGATATTCTGTTCGTGTCTGTGTACCACCTTTAGATGTGTGAACAGTTCTTGTAGTCGTATAACCAATTTCACCGGTTAATGTTAAATAGACACCATCGACTTTAACTCGATCATTACCGATAACATTCAAATGAGCAGTTCCTGTGACAATTTCATCAGAAAAATAAAATGCTTCTAGACGTTGAAAATTAACCGATATTTTATTACTACCGTTGCCCATTTATTTACTAAAATGAAAACGAAATTTGAGTTGAAGAAGCTTTTTTTGTAATCCTTTATTGAAATTTTTCTAGGTTAAAACTGTTAACATATTTGCATAATGATTTAACTTCTACAATTATATCAAGGATACGCATAAGACAAAGAGAATGAGAAGTTGATGAATTATTAGTCATATACATTATAAAATATTTTTCTTACTTAAAATCGTGTTAGAAACAAGTTTTTGACCCATTTATTTTTGCATTTTCGCTCCTTATCATGATGAAGTATGAATAGTGTATCCATCACCTTATTTACTCAAATCTACTCCTCAAAAGTAATGCATATAAACTTAAAAGTAAACTCTCATCTGTTCATTATCACTGAGTTTTAAAATTCTTTCGTTTTTCTAATATGCAAAAGAAATAAATAAAAGAACGTTTACCTATAGTAAAAAAAAAAATATTATTCATACTGCTTGTTCTGATTATTTCAGTTAATAATTTTTATACTAGAAAAAGAAAATCTCAACTATATGTTGCATCCATCTGTTCTTCTGTATACGTCACTCTCTCTCTCACTTAACTACATATTACCATGATTAAAGAGACAGTCGAAGGTGAGCTATTGCACAATCATTACTCATAATGACTAAACGAAAAGAAAAATTATTTTCTTCAGTTTTTTCTTTTATATATTTACTAGTCCTCATCTATACATATTTTTTATTTAAGAACAAAAACAGACAGTTACTTAGGTGTTTAGTATGTCTATTTTTCTACATTCAATAACCTTTTAAATCCGGATTTTTTAACATATTATATCGGTGACATACTGTGATTTTCTGCGTCTGTGTTTATCGTACAGGAAGTTTGTCTTAATGTTACTCGCTGACAACAATTTTGTTCACACACTTCTTTCTTTCTTTTTTCTTTGCTTTTGTAAGCCAATAATTTCAGTAAAAAATCTAAGAGTAACAGCAGCTACTCAATATGCCATTTGTAATTCAATAAAATATATATTTAGTTAAATCATGCAGACAAACATGTGCACAAAATGTGCTCATTTTAATTAAATATATATTTTATTGAATTACAAATGGCATATTGAGTAGCTGCTGTTACCCATGAGATTTTTTTTCGATAAAATATCGCGATTAGAGGCGATATTTTATATCTTATATCTCGATAGGTCTTAACTCTATCGAGACGCCACGTTAAACCGCTATGAAAAAATTTATCGCGATATACCATGCTGAATGAAGTTATCCGTTTCTGTCCCCGATGAAATTTTTATCGAAATAAAGATCTCCATTATTGCGATAAAGCATCTTATCGAGATAATAATCTGTCGGGATGGAAAGCGAAACCTTTACATCGCGCGATATGTCACGATAAAGTTCCGTGTGGCGGTCTAACGTGGCGTCTCGATAGATTTAATTCCTGTCGAGGACTGTGACGATTACTAATTTTATCTCTATATAGTCCGATACCGTGGTCATGCTGCAATGTATCCTACATAATAGAATGTAAAATTCTACCGCTGTTTTACAAGACGCAATGTTGCGGAAAACAGTACGATTATTGACTTTTCGATCAAGCTAAAGGCAGATGTGGTGAGAGATGTTAGAATAGCTGGTATAGACTGCTTATTAACTTAATAAGCATCAAACTTGACGGATCACATCTTACCGGTCTTATCTTCGGGATGTGACCCGTCGAAGTCATAATGTAAGTCGTCGTTGAGACAACAAAATATATCTGAAAGTACGCAATAACCAAAAGTAACACTTTATTTATTTCGATCGGCATAACATCTGACAGACTTTAGATTTGACGCGTTGTCTGAGGAAGAATATTCTCTTTCGATTTTAAAACTGTCACGAAGAAAATAGTGCATCTTCGAGACAAAAAAATAACTCGCTTCTGCTCCAGAAAATTGCTGTGTACATACTAATGACAACAGTCAAATAGTTAGGCTGGTTCGATTAACTACAACAAAACAAAATAAACACGGGCAGAAAACACTCTTTGAGTGTTATTGTGTTATTCATCACTCGAAAGAAGTGAATAAAGTGGAATGAAACGCTCTTTGCACCCTTGCAAAAAGTGAAGAAATGACTACTTGAATTGTATTGATGTATAGACTATCTGTTATATACGTTAAAAGAGAACGAAGGATAAACACAGTGGACGATAATAGGACTATAGCAAATAAGGAGATATCTCTTCTGGCACATGCACTATATTCGATCATATATGTGGCAAATGTCTCTTTTCTGTTCTCTTTCTTCCTTTAACGTCACTTGCTGATCGATTTTCTT